TTAATAGTTTTTTTTTCATCAACTCATTCTACTTATTTTAATACTCATATTTTAATTTTAAATTAACTGTTTTATCAACATTGAAATGGGAAAATTTAACTACAGAATAGGAAATGAATAGTTAAAATACACAGCAAACTATGTCACTGAAAGTCAACAAACAAATGTACGTGAAAGTAAATAAATTCAGTAAAGTTTGCCACTCTTCAGCTTTTAAAGTGAGTCAATTTAGTATGACACAAAATAAAAGCATTTAGATTGGGGTGTCAATTTTTTACAATATGACGAAGTAGTGCCACTGAAAAATATCGAGTGTTGGTACGAGCTACGGAAGTGCGGAAAGAACTTACCAATTACTTATGTAGCCTAAGTCTCATAATATTTTATATAACTAGTAATTCCGTATACAATTTATTATTTTTTCAAACTACGGTACAAATACTTCTTTATTTAAATTTTAAGCCATTTAAATACCTACTTCTTCTTCTACCGTATTGCGATAGCTGATTCCACGTTTGCCAATCTCAAGTGAGCATGCATCAGCCATCACAGTACTTATTATTTTTTCCATCGCTATTAAAAGAATAATAGCTGCTTCCTATCATATTCCTCATAAGGTCATGATTAAAAATACTGTCAAATAGGTAATATAGACAAAATAACGCGGATTCTCTTAAAGCTTTACCTACACAAAAGGAAAAATATAAAATGTAAGTTTTGTTTACAATTTACAATATTAAAATCAAAGCCAGTAAAACAGAGGCGGTCTCCACAGTTGGTAGCCGGCGAGTGTGGCTATCAAAAAATGGTAATTGATTTTTTCACGGGCGATGCGTCAAGCGCGAGCGCAAATGGCTTACGTTGGCCATATTGAATTAGTGCGTGGACGACGATGCTGCGCTAGGACAAGAGTGCGGTGGAGTCGGTCTTTTAAAACATTTTAGAAATTACTGCCTTAGCGTACACTACATTACTGCGTGTGGTTAAAGAATTGAACTTCTGGTCCAAAGATGATGGTTTATTTTTCTTCTTAGATTAACAAAGTGGTAAGATAGAACTTTATAGCAGTGGTCTGTGTCTGACTGGCTCTAGACGTATGATCAATATTTCGATATAATTGTTTTTAAATGTTTACCAGCAATTGTAGGTTATTTAATGTGACAAAGACTCTTGAAGTACGAGTCTTTGTCACATTAAATAACCTACAATTGCTTGATTTCACAACTAAAATGTACTTTCGATTTTTTTAAATATGTATTACTAACCTAATTAATAAATGGAATAATAAGTGGTAATTAGATAGGTCCCAAATCAGCGTCTACTGTCACGTTAGGTTTAAACAGTTCAGAATTGTACTGAAAAACAGACTCTCTGAATTGAAATTTACAAAGGAAACTCCACAGCGCTCCTGTTCGCCGAAATTCATCCATGAAATTAATTAAAAAACACTTCACGCCGGTGATTCCCGCAAATTGATTGAGTGCGGCTGCCCCGTGACGTCAGTAATGGACCAACACTGTTGCTTAATTTTTTTTTAATGTCCCACTAAGTGGGGACAAGTTGTATGCTAAAATCTTCAGTGTTTTTATCTGAAATTTGATTTGGATGGACATGAAGCAATAAAGAATTTGAATATGATTTCGAAATTAAAATTGGAGCTGCTTTTTAATTCGTAACGGGATCGAACATTGTAAGTCATACTCGTACAAAGTAAATAACTTTAATCTTTGTGTTAGTTTTTGTATCACTTTGTGTGTATGGTTTAAGAAGACGCGTGTGTAGGCAAAATAACTTGAATCTTAAATAACTCTTCAATCAGAATCTTTGATCATCCTTGCAAAGTAAGGAATTATATTTCTTTTAAAATTAATTTAAGCTCACATTAACCTAAAAAAACTGAGAGAAATTACAATAATAATTATGTGTCCCATCTTGTAATTGAACCCAGAATCTCTATCTTGAGACCATCCGATACCTTGACCACTGGACTTCCAAGGCGTCCATTTAACGTAACAAGAACTTAATACCAAAGCGTTACCTACTAACTACGAACTTAATCGTCATAATACAAGAGCAATAATGCCCAATCCTGCATAACAACACATTACTTGTCTAATTCAAAGCAAACAACCAATCCGGGTGTCATACAGCCCCAATCCGGGTCTCATCAGCTGCACGTGGTGTAATTGGTCCGGTCGTGCCCGGACACCCGGACAAGCCTTAAAGTGCACTTGTAATGTAGCGCACTGCTGTCCGGAAGTCCATGTAACCTAATTTGTGTGTACAGCCAGCACGTCAGGATATTAGACATGTGTGTTACAAAATCATAAATAAATATGCGTACCTAAACTGGCAAATTTGATAAAGTTTAGTAGGTACCTATTTAAGAGAAAAATACTAGAATTTAGACTTCTACCATAAAATGTAGTAAATAAAGTGAAATGCAGGATGAAAGCTTAATATGTGAGTTATCACATAATTTCTAATTTTAATTTCTTCTATCCCAAAACCACAATAAATACTTTATCCCAAAATCACAATAAATACTTTATTTATTGAATGTAGTAACAATATTCTATATACAGGATGTCCCAGAATGGGTGAATCAAACTGATAGAGGAGGTAGCTCTACTAATGTACTATCCCTAAAAATATGAAAAAAAAATAAAGCGCATAAGGACACAATTTTTTTTTTAAGTGAAAATAAATCAGCTTTGCCTAAGTATCTGGCTATAATTGCTGCGTTTGGAGTTTATTTGTACTTTTTTCTTACTAATATTAATTGTACATGATCGCTTCGTTTATCTGTAAACAAACTTTTGAAAATAATGACTAGATTTCGAGTTAAGAGCACATACCTACTTAATATATCTATCTATATATATAAAAATGAAACCCGTTTTCCGTTGTCACGACATAACATGAAAACGGCTTGACCGATTTGGCTGTTTTTTTTTGTAGTTTTCTAATACTCTGTACAAGGTTTTTACGGAAAAAAATATAAAGAAAATCTCTACGCTAAGGCGGTACGAAGTTCGCCGGGTCAGCTAGTTTTAAATAAAATCCGAACTCAATTTTTTTTTAATATTTTTTAGGGATAGTAAATTAGTAGAGCTACCTTCCCCTATCAGTTTGATTCACCCATTCTGGGACAACCTGTATACAACTAAATATAAAAAAAAAAACTACTTAACTTCTAATTTTAATTGAAATACGAGTAATGTGTTTAGTAGTTAGCTCGATAAACTCTTTAAATAGGTATACCTATTATTATTTATTATTACCAAAACCAATAATAGACAAAATTCTCTAAATACAAGTCATAGAATTGTCATTCTTACAAGTCATAGACCAAAATAGAGACTCAATTATTTTTGGAGACCAAGACTCACTTTGGACCACTGCTTAGCTTAGTAAGTTAGTTCATACAATTCGCATTGTAAAAAAAATACATTGCTTTAGGTTTCTCGTAAAAATATTTCCCCAATTTTTAGGGACAATTTACCCACCCAATCACGCCTCCCCGTCCACACTTGATCACCGGCCCTACATAATCACTGCAACTCAATTAACCAAATCTGCCCGCTCAGATTCGCGCGATATTGTGAACAGCCTCATAAATTGACAAACTGTCCAACTACACTGAACAAGGCGGAATAAGTTTCTGCTTCCGGTCAGTGCGCTGGAAATATACGGGGGGTGATTCGTGTGTGGGCGGGAAAACGGGCGGTTTTTTGACGCTAGTATGATCCTGGTATCTCATCATCATCATCATTTCAGCCATAAAACGTCCACTGCTGAACATAGGCCTCTCCCAATGACTTCCATAATGATCTGGTATCTAGTTGGCTTGCTATTTAGCTATAACAGATAATTATAACTAATCGTGTTTATAAGCCTGGGTGTAGTATACATATTTGTTTAGTATATTAGTAGAATTTCACTGTCATTATTTGTTAGAAAGTTACGTTTTCCGTATTATGTGTCCATAACACCATCATTTTAAACAGCGTATTGCACTGCAGACACACTGGTAGAAGTAGAAGGATGCCTAATAGGTAGTGTTTTTGTTCCTAGGAACTCGATTCTCTCAAAAATATTATACCCATAACCTTACTCTCAATCTAAACTATTATAGGTAGTAAATAGTGATAGGACAAAAAATGAAGTCAATTTTCTTCAAATACTACGTAAATACCTATCTATTACTAGAGTATTTCAAGCCTCTTTCGAAAAACTTGTGTCATCAATGGTCATTGGTCATGCTCCTTAAAGTAACCAACTGTAATACAATAGATCTTTGCCAAATGTGGTTTTTCGAGCTCGCATCCGCAGCGTTACCGTCCGCAATACCCTCCCGTATGTCCACAATCAGAGGTCCAGAGGCACTGGCGGTGATTTAGCGTCTAACTTGGACTATGTCCGCGAGGTCCTACGGCACCGTTGTTTGGTAATGAACCATGAATTTCTATTTGTTGTGCAGTCCAGGTAATTAACTAATAGGTACGCTCGACGGTGCCGTAACTACGAATAAGACGGAATTTTATTATTAGAGATGCTTTAGCTTGAAATTGTGTGGTACAAAAGACAGCCAGTTCAAAACGAGTGTTATACAGTATAATATCGTAAATGTAAAAGAGAATGATTGTAAGGTACCAGAAATTATTTCTTTTGAATGATAACTCAAGAAAGTATAAACAAGTTTGTCATCTAACTCATTACAAAAAACAATAAAGTAAATACAAAATAACTCAATTAAGTAAATTCCATTTCTCTGCTAATCCCAAATTTTTATGCATTCCATTTCTCTNCCCAAATCGTTATGCAAATAATTAGGACATCATTAGCAAGTCATTACTACTAATACAAAAATATTTTTAATTACTTAATTGATTTCAATTAGTAAAGGTGACACACAGTAAAAAATAGCGATCACTTAATGACTTTATTAATGAGTGTAAACACCATAAAAAGTGCGAAAAAACCTCTTTGCAATCAGTCTCAACCAAACGACAGTGCGGTTAACAACAATTGAAATCGAAGTATTTGGAACATCGAACTACAATGAGTATCTATTATCTTGACGCCGAATCGATACTATCTTCCAACGAGCAGTGGAAGAAGCTGGAAGAGAAATGGGGGAAGCCTGTCGACCTGGACACAGACGACTCAGACCGTGAACCTTCAAAACTGAAGCCAGCGCTGAGTTCTTTGGACCTGCGACAGACGACTTTCGACTCGCCGTTCCTTTTGAAAACCGTCCGCAAGAAACTTGCAAGACGACTCTCGATCAAATCCTGTATTGCTGACTACGATGACTTCGTCAAGGAGCTACCCAACGACACCTTTGGAGAAGAACCTAAGAAGCAGTTTTACAACGTAAGCGGTCAGATGCTCTCGGCGGGATCGGTGGAGGACATCTGCAAGACGATTGACGATGTGTTCAAATCGGTGGAGGACCTTTGCTTCACGACCAGCACCAACTGTGATAAGAAGAGACCCGAGCTCGTGCCATGCAGCATGTCTTGCAGTGGACTCTCTTTTGATGACACCAGAGACACAGAGCGAGAGAAGCGCGACAGTGACGACGTGTTCAAATCGGTGGAGAATCTTCGCTTTTCGACCAGCAGCATCCGTTATAAGAAGAGGTCGTTGCCAGAAGTTGTGCATTGCAGCATGTCTTGCAGTGGACTCTCTTTTGATGACACTACAAACTCGGAGCGAGAGAAGCGCGACAGTGACGACGTGTTAAAATCGATGGAGAAGCGTTTCTCTGGGACCAGCACCATCCGTGATAAGAAAAGGCCGTTGCCAGAAGTTGTGCATTGCAACATGTCTTGCAGTGGGCTATCTTTTGATGACACTACAAACTCGGAGCGAGAGAAGCATGACAGTGACGACGTGTTCAAATCGATGGAGAGGCTTTGCTTCTCGACCAGCACCATCCGTGATAAGAAGAGGCCGTTGCCAGAAGTTGTGCCCTGCAGCATGTCTTGCAGTGGACTCTCTTTTGATGACACTACAAACTCGGAGCGAGAGAAGCGCGACAGTGACGACGTGTTCAAATCGATGGAGAAGCGTTTCTCTGGGACCAGCACCATCCGTGATAACAAAAGGCCGTTGCCAGAAGTTGTGCCCTGCAGCATGTCTTGCAGTGGACTCTCATTTGATGACACCAGAGACTCGGAGCAAGAGAAGCGCAACAGTGATGACGTGGACATCGATGAAGCCATCGAGCAACTGAATTCTACTATAGCAGGCGTGGCGAACGGTGCCGTGGAATTCGAAGAAGCTGCAGATTCAGTGACGGCGCTAGTGAAGCAGTTTACTGTGTTCTTGAATAACCCAATGAAGTGTAACCCGAGGAGGAAGCGACAGTGTGGCGAAAGGCTTAAAGATTTGGCTGACTACTGGAGAAGCCGTATGAGTCTTGTGGAGGAATAATTTTAGATTTCTCTAGGTTTTACAATTTTTATTTATATTATGTACATTTCCATTGATTTATTATGTAATAATCTAGTTAGAATACAGCAGTAACTGTACACTTTTATGACTTAAATTAAATGTCTTAAATAGATTTATTTTATTGTATTATCAACATTATGTTTTATAAATTGTTTTTATAATGTGAAAATTGTATTTAATGTAAATAGAATAACTTAAATAGAAAATAAAATTATAATAAATTTGAATAAAACTCTGTTTATTTCATCATCCTTTATTTTCTAGTCTAAAACTAATGTAAATTACTTTTTTGAAGACAATAAGCTATCTCATCTCTGCAACAATACAGACCAAATGCAAACATACTCGTACAATACATATCAAAGCATGTGTGTGTGTGTAGCATCATACACGTTGAAAATTATTGGATATTTTAGCACCTACCTACTAATTATTTAGATTTCATGACAGTATTTGTGTAGAAGTTTTACAAACTTGTATTTACTCTTACTTAATGTAAGGTAAATAAAAAATACCTAAAGCTTCACCTAAGTTTAACAGTATTAGCACAAATTTAGTTCATCTTTTGTCAGAATACGAGTACATGGGAAGGTATATTCTAGTGATACGTTATTCGCTAAATCGCGATACAAATAAATATGGCGCCTTTTGCACACAACGAGCGGCTGTTGCTTAATTATCGCTTTAAAATGAGCGTTTGCCGGATTCATGTTGGAGGTACACTCGGACTCAAAAAAACATTCACTCATCTTCTTATTGTGTGGGATGTAGCAAGTTTGGTGTCAGACTCCTGACGCTATAATTGTGTCTATGACTTAAGTCAGAACAATTTCATCAGTCGCTTGGTGCCCTTTTGTAGTAGGCATTTGTTGCAAAAGCGCCCTTATTTCAACTGAAAAAGAAGCCGTAGTGTTTAACTTGTTGTGTTTTAACCTCCTTATGCCAAAGATAGAAACGAGGTTCACCCGGAATCCTCAACCACAAAAAACCTGACTCTAACCTCCTACTGCCTAAGAACAATAGAAAAGTGGCGTCAAAGTTGAGTAGATGGTCTATCCTATTGAATTGACTTACAAAATGACAGCAATACCGGGACGAACTTAGCCTTCACTTGTTGGGATTTCATATGCGGTTAAGCATAAGGAAGGATAATGGGTATCCCATAAGGATTATGGGTACACAGCAGTTGTACAATAACGAGAAGTGGTTCTGTAATGAAGAATCAGAATTTGAGTAACTAATGCCCGTTTTCTCACCATCAATCCCTAATTTTTAATTGACCCATATGGTAACACATAACAGTAATTTTGTTTTGATAGCTGTCACTTAAAAATAGGGATTGATGGTGAAAACGGGTATAAGGCTAAGTAGCACCATCCTACTTTAACTTTGACAAACGTCAAAACTGTTAAACTCTATACAAAAAACACCGGTTATTGTAATTGTTACGGTTAAAATAAGGTGATGCAACTCAGGCTAAACATTTTTCAAAGGCTGACTGTACCAGCTGATATCACACCCTAATGAGGGCCGTGATGACCTGCGCCGACTTGTTAACAATGTTTGTGACGGAACCCGGGTGTGGGTGTTGCTTTATTTTGGACTGTTGCTGTTTATTTCAATTTCTCTGCGAACATTGGATGACATAATCGCGAAGGTTTTGGATTTTGTGACAATAAATCTAGAGCGAATGTTTTCAAAAATAAAAAATAATAGTTTCTGTCTGAAATTGTTAGAAATAATCTTTTGACTGTGTGAAAGAAACAACAATCAAATCATTTGATATTTCTTTTCTTTTGTTTTTTGACGCTTTTCACTAGTTTTCAGAGACTTATGTCTTGTAATTAAACAAGTTTTTTTAGATTTTATCATCTTTTACGTAAAGTGCTTAAATAATTCTGACTGTCAATAACGTAGGGCATCTCTAGATTTGGCATTGTTCTCCATAAATGAAATATGTGGGAAAAGAAATGAAAATATTTATTATTAGGTACTCTACATACTAATAACCACAGTCTTATTTAAAGCAGTCGCATTCCTGAAAAGGTTAGCTACAGGTTATTCCTATTAAAGTAGGCTATGGTATTACAACTTTTTAGTAAATAGATTACGAAATTTACCTCTCAATAAAATTTTGCCAAGTTTTCCCATTTCCCTACTAATGCCTTTGCTTTTACCTAATCTGCTTCAAATACCCCGACAATTAAACCTAAAGCTACCAGCAGGTCTAAATTTCTCCTTTGTTACAGTACAATATTCACTTAACCTGTCGTCCGCTAAATTACGGCTATACAGGGTGTTCGCAACTTATAGTCCATAAACATTCAAATCCACTATGCCTTAATCTTATTATTTACGGGGCGGCAATTAAGTGCATCCAGCGCCGGCGATGCATCACGCGAGTAATCCAAAGGACAGAATCATAATAACAAAAAACAATAAAAATAACGAATTACGCTGTGGACTACGAGCGCGGGGTAAGAGATGCGTGGAGTGGTATGTGATTGAGATTTTTTTTGCACGTCGCAAAACTAACATTTAATTCCTTGGTAGGTAAAATTAAATATTCATAGAAATACGTAGACAATTTGATTGGAATAATGAAGGAGTATAGAAATTGGTTAAATAGGAACCGGGACAACTTCTACGCCATTTTATGACATTGCATTTGTTAATTGTTTAAAAAAAACTGAACAGTGTTTCATTAATAATAAATAGTTGAATTCGAATTACTTATGTTTCAAAGAAACACTATTGTTTAAATTTGTAAATACTTACTTTTACACGAAAATATGCGACTTGAATTGTTTTCAAATTGACTTTGGTGTTCTTTATAGGAAAATATCTTAAAAACAGCAGATCGTTACATTATTGGAATTATTTTCAGCTGAAATTTTTAAATTGTTAAACGTCGACTCCATTCTCCCCAAGGCTCTGTCCCAAATCCACATTCTGTTCGTGCTCATTCCTAATATGGGGCAAAACTGTTGGAAGAACAACAGTTTTTGTTGTATATTTTATGTTGTGTGACGCTATAACTCAGTTGTGACGCGCCCTGAGCCGCTGAGATACACCGTCTACACTCCAGCGTTATTTATACCGTTATTTATAACGGGGCAGTTATTTTTATTTATACACTTGTTTTATTGGTTTATTGCGTTACGGACTGTTGAACGCGATTTCGGTTTTAGTTAAGTGCTCCGCGTTGTTAGTTGATCAAGTGGGTTTGTTACATAACGACCTAATTTTTATTTTCAGGGCGAAGGATTTGCCATTTTCTAATAAACTGGCTAAGTCACAGTTATTATAAATCAAACGTTATTTTATCAATTATTACCTCATAAACATATTAAAGGTACAGTTACACATGCTCATCTAACATCTATAAAAGCGAAAGGTCACTGACTCACTCACCCACTCATCACAAAATCTCAGAAACTACCAGTCGGAGTACCACTAGCTACTAGCTAGGAGTCTCAAATTTTGCATAGGGGTTTCTTTGAGAACGTAGGTATTTACTAAGACGGGATTTTGCAAAATTCAACCCCTAAGGATGTATAACGGAACGAAGTCGCGGGCGAACGCTAGTTACTAATATAAGTATGACAATTTATGACCATATTATGTAACTGAACTTTGAAGTTATATTTTGGTTAAATATTTTAAAAATCCTTAGAGGGATTGGTAGGCTTAATAACACTGTGAAGCCAAAACTGTAACAATGATTTACCGCCACTCAGTTGTATTTCATTTGACCGCCAACTTTCGGTTACACAAAAATATAACTTTCTAAATTTATTAGCTCGGAATGTTAATAGGTCATTATCGTAAATTAATTACGGGAAAATAATGCCCCCATTAAGCGTGATGTCATGGCTGTGTTCAGGGTGATATTCGGAAGTTATTAATGAGTTGACACTCAAGGGAAGGTCCAGGCTCATACATTTCGAAGCTGGAACCTCGAGTTTGACATGTATCATGATTTATTTAAATTTTAAATTTATTTTTGTGTAGGGTATATAAAGTACACGTTTATGGACTATCGTCTACAGTTAAATCTAACTTTTTAATGATTAAAATTCATAGAGATAAATATATTTTATTCACACTGATGAATCTGGTGAAGGTCGCGGGAGGCACCTGGATGCAAGCGGCACAGGACCGGTTTTTGTGGAAATCCTTGGGGGAGGCCTTTGTCCAGCAGTGGACGTCTTTCGGCTAAAACTGATGAATCAAGTAGTTTTTCGAACTTTCGAGCGGGCTAACTTGAACGAGCTGTCAAAATGGGATTCCCTAAAGTATGGAATCAAGCATCATCTACATCAGCAGCTTATTAATTTGGTCTACACTATAGGAGCACGATACAACTCTCTCTAATTTACCAGAGGCAAAAGAGATTTGGCCTGCGGTCTTGTTGATCATCATCATCATCATTTCAGCTACAAGACGTTTACTAGCCTCCCCAATGTATTCCAGATTAACCAGATTGTAGATGTATTTATTAAACAATTACAGATTCCATATAAAAATGCAAATGTAACAATCAAAATATAAATATTTTCGCACGCCCTTACGTTGCTATGGACAGCAATAGCATTGATTGCTATTATTTCAAGTCATTAAATCAAAACAAGGACAATTCCACCCTCATTACGGCATCGAACCCATTACTGGGCGGCTATGAATTTAATCAGCCACCCCATAGACTAATTACTCATTAGACACCTCACCTAATGAGCGTTAAAGGGTTAATAAAACTCCGTAATTTCAAAAGATTCCGAAAAAAAAAATTTCACCTATTATAATCTGTGGTTAGAAAACGCAGCGTGGGGCGTCCACCCACAAGGTGGACCGACGACCTGATAGCAGGAAGGTAGCAGGAAGGCGATGGATGCAGGCCGCTACCAACCGTGCGATGTGGAAGTCATTGGGGTAGGCCTATGTTCAGCAGTGGACGTCCTGTGGCTGAAATGATGATGATGATGAATCTGTGGTTGGTGATCACTGACATTCAGAATCTACTACGAACAAATGTATATGTGGACTAGTTACACAAGGATAAAGAAGATGTATACTATCTCAATATCTTTATCCCCTCTAACTCACTGATTGAACACTTTTA